AATATAATATTATATGTCTATTTAAAACTTTTTTTTTTCTTTTTTAATCACACATTTTAAAAAAAAATCACTATTTGACAATACATTTTTTGGCCCAAATTTTGATTTTAATGGAGTTCAAACAAGAGTTTAGTGATAACTAAATTCGAAAACAATCCTAAGGTCATTCGTTAACTAAGCGAATAAATAAATAAATATTTCTTTTTGCACGAATTGAACATACATAACATATTTCTGGAAAAATAAATGATAATCACAGTCTATGGGTTTGTTAAGAGTACGTAAAATAAAAAAAATAAAAAAATGTAGTTGATAGTGATGGTAGAGGGGTGGGTTCGGGATGGCTTGCCCCGTTCACCGCTCCGTTTATTTATTTTTTCTTTTCATGAGGCAGGTTCACCCCGCTAACTCGTTGGGGTTGAACGGGAATTTTTGCCATCACTAGTAGTTGCTCTCAAAATGTCATCCTCATTTGATGGGGAAAAAAAAAAGGAATAAGTTTTTTATTTTTATTTTTATATTACCCTAGATGCATATTTTTGAAAGGTTGGGGACCTTCTCTGATACAAATTGAAGGTTAGGATAAAATGCAAAAATTAAAAAAGTTTGGGACAGCTCTACAATTTTCCCATCACTTTATTACCTATCCAATTTGCCAAACTCTTTGCTTTGTGAGTGAAAAAGGACAATTCGTTAGGTCCAATAATTATTATCGTGGAAAATTTTGGTGTTTGAAAGCGAAAGCGGTGTCGTTTTTCTCTTACTAAATGTATGACCATTTTCTTTGGATGCACTTTATCATAATTCATCCACCACAAATTCTCTTAACATTCTTTAAATATGAACCTAATTGGACCAAAAATATATTAAAATAAACAATATGATTAGAAGTGAAACTTTCAAATCAATTTTACAGATTATTAAATAAATTTATTTTATTTTAAGTTCGTAACTTTGTTTAGTGCTTGTTTAGTAGAGATTTTGTTAATTGATTTTTTGATCGTTAGAGATAAAGTGAGTCCTACCCGTGAGAGAAGAATTCAAAAATGACGACTGAAATAGTGAAATAACAGTAAAAAAAATTGATATTAATTGGATTAAAATCTCTACCAAACATGCTCTTATACCACGTACTACAATATGGCTTTTTTTTTTTTTTTTTGGTCAGGAAAAATTAAAGAATATGAATGAAGCGATCGATTTGAAATAAAAAAATAAGATTTTAGTTCAATAATTAACTTGAAAGAAAATGAAGCTTGATGACCAATATAAAATTATACTAAAAAGTTAGAAGTGACCACTACTTTAACCCAACGAATAACATTTGAAGTTTATAAATGGGTAATTGGCAAAAACATCCCTGTCTTTGAAATTTATTGTGAAAAACATTCATACCTTTCAATTTTTTTAGCATTATCACTCTTACCTTTCACATTTTTTTGGGCTGAACATCATTTTCACCAATTTTTAATGTAAAATGATCAAAATGCCATTCCATTTAAATAAAACCAAAAAATAAAAAGAAAAATAAAAAATAAATTACAATCTTACTCCTAAATGTTTTAAAAAATGCAAGTGAGTCCAAATAATTATTAAAATGCCTAACAGCACAAACGTCCCTATATTTGGCCTATAGTGTGTAAAATTTCCTTACGTTTCAAATTGTTGAAAATGACATTTTCGCAATGAAACGTGGAAATAAGGATGAAAAGGCAAAAAAAAAATGGTAATTAGCACAAAACGTCCCTACCTTTCAAGCTTATTGTAGAAAATGTCCATACCTTTCATTTTTTTACATTTTTACCCCTATTTTCACCTTTCATTGTGGATAAGGTCATTTTTGTCATTTTTTCTAATAAAATGACAATTTTTCCCCCGATTCAAATAAAACAAAAAAAAAAATCAATAAATAACTAATTGCAATCACAGTCCTAAATTTTTCAAAACATTACAGCTTAGTTCTAAATTCTTCTCCACCATCATTTTCACAACCCAAAAACACCTTCTGGCCACCATACCAGCCAAAATCTACCACCACCAACCTTACCTCACTCTCCCCTACCTCGAATACACCTGAATTTGTCCAAAAATCAAGCCAATATCTCCAATTTCGACGACACCCATGCCATGCCCAACATTCCAGTGAATTATACACATCAATGCGTCCCTTTACATGGTCATCAATCATCCATAAACACATGGAATCAAAACTAGCAAGCTCGTCTTCAAACACAGAGATTGTGTAACTTTCAAACGAATTTTCCAGCGACAAGTTGGGACCCATGATCGCAGACCACCACTACAAGCACCTACTCTTCATGGCCATCCAATGAACTTATGGGCCGTCCCCAATTTTGCTTGGAAATGGCAGTTGGGTTTTCTTCTAATGAACAACCTACCTGCATGAATGAGGTTTTCTTCCATCAATTCATGGCTCAAATGTGATTCAATACACAAATCAACAGAGGAGAAATGAAATTCAAGGTCAAAAAACATTGGGTAATAGTTCAATTGCAGATATTACAGCATTTGTTTGTCGAATTTTGAAGTCAAATGATGTTTTTCATAAGCCTATAAGTGACGAATTTTGGAGATTTTGACTTGATTTTTTGGTGAATTCAGGTGGGTTCGATGTAGGGGAGAGTGAGGTAAGGCCGATGCTGGTGGAGTTCGCCGGGTATGGTGGCCGGAAGGTGTTTGGGTTGTGAAAGTGGCGGTGGAGGAGAATTTAGGACTAAATTGTAATGTTCTGAAAAATTTAGGAATGTGATTGCAATTAGTTATTTATTGATTTTTTTTTTTGCTTTATTTGAATCGGGAGGTAAAATTGTCATTTTATTGGGAAAAATGACAAAAATGACCTTCTCCGCAATGAAAAGTGAAAATAGGGGCAACAATGTTAAAAAATGAAAGGTAAGGACGTTTTCTACGATAAGCTTGAAAGATAGGGATATTTTGTGCCAATTACCCAAAAAAATTGAAATGTAAGGACGTTTTCTGCAAAAAAAGTGTTAAACATAGGGATTTTTTTGCTATTAGGCCTTATTAAAATGTTAAAAATAACAAAACAACTCTCTCTCTCTCTCTTCTTCTCCAAATGGGACTGTCACGTTAGAAGTGAAAAAATTTCAACACATTAGAAGTGAAAAAATTCCAACCAACCATCGCCTAAACAACTGAATTTACATACTGCTGAACCATCTATTGATATTTTAAGACCATGTAGAGAGAGTATAGTCGATTAGTGTGTTGGAAAGGCATAGGTCTCTCCAAAACAAGTGATGTTGCTAGTATTTGTACTCGTGAGTTGCGTATTTTGGCTTGCAATTCTGAACAAATCTATTGGCATGAATGTTTTAAGGTTGAATGTTGAGTGATATGTGTAGAGAGAAGTGATTGCTTTTTGATGGTATGATGGTCCAACAGTTTGGATGGTGGTTTGTTGGAGTTTTTTTTTGCTTCTAAGGTAGCTGGCCCATTTGGAGAAGAAGAGGAGAGAGAGAGAGAGTTTTATTTATTTATTTTTTATATTTTAATAAGGCCTAATAGCAAAAAAAAAAAAAAAAAAAAAAAAAAAAAAAAAAAAAAAACAACATTTTTAAAAAAAAAAAAAAAAAAAACCCTATGTTTAACACTTTTTGTGGAAAACGTCTCTACATTTCAAATTTTTTTTTTTTTTACGTTTTCATCCTTATTTTCATGTTTCATTACGAAAAACATCATTTTCACCAATTTGAAAAGTAATGATATTTTGCACACTATATATCAAATGTAGGGACTTTTTGTACTATTAGGCCTTTTAGTAATTATTTGAACTCACTTACACTTTCTAAAATATTTAAGAGTAAGATTGTAATTTATTTTTTTATTTTTCTTTTCTTTTTATTTAAATGGGAGGATATTTTGATCATTTTAAGTTAAAATTGGTGAAATGATGTTCAACGCAAAGAAATGTGGAAGGTAAGAGTGAAAATGCCAAAAAAATGAATGGTAAGAATGTTTTCCACCATAAACTTGAAAGATAGAGACATTTTGTGCCAATTATCCTTTATAAATAATTAGATTGACTAATTAAACCAGAAAAATAGAAAACCAATTCGAAAACAGATATCAACCCTTTAAATCAAACATAGAAGAAAATTAAGACCGTTAAGAATAACTTGTTTTGGTTCTCAACCCAAATAATCCAATTCCTACAAAATGTTTAATCACTTGATTAACTCTTCTCTCTTAATCTTTTTTCAAGCTATTACTCAATGTTGAAAAATACTTAACACTTATTTGATGCAGCTAAGAAACAAATTATTATTAAAGGTTGATGCTTTGAAATTGAAAGATTGGATTAAAATATTCGGTCAAATGACCCTATCAATTAATGTGCATAAAACGCCCCAAGAAATTGTAACACCAGTCTAGACGGCACTAATATGACGTTAAATGAAATGTATAATTAAATAAATCACTTAATATATATCATTGAATCTATCACATAAGGTTACCTATACTAATATTATAGTACTAGTGATACTATATAACATTATTCTATCACTTTTGCCCTTGATTCGAAATAGGAAAAAGTCTATTTTACCACTGTTTTCATTCCCCACATCCTGCACATTTCCTCGAGAACCTTCTTGCTTCCAAATGCTAATACGTTACGTTAGTTCAATCATTCACAATAGAAATCCAAATCCATTTGATTGGGAAGGTGACTTGTGCCTATCCATGTCAGCATATGCAAACAGAGAGTAAAGAGTCAGCAATATAACCACCGCACCATATAGATAGGACAGGAAACTCTCGATTATCTTCGTAATGAATTTTGCTAGTTATACATAAATATAATATATAAATAATCAAAAATGAAGTGTAAGGAAAAGATTATATAAAAAGAATGACTATATTTTAAATCGACAGATGATAAAGAGTCATGTAAGCGTTATGTAATCCATTTTGTACGTGTAGCAAGATCGTTACGTAATATTCAACATTATAAAGCTAACTCTCTTCGCGTCCTAACATTATAGGATCATACATTTTCCACCTCAACTTTGTTATCAAAATCAACTAACTTTCTCCCACTTTTCTTTCTCTGATTCAAGATCAATCAATCCACAGACTATCAACCATGGCTGAGGCTAAGAAGGTATCAATTTTGATCACACCCCACTAATTCTATTCAATTTAATTTGATTAGATTTCTTGTTTGATTCTGCTTCAATTTTATTTGATGTGATAGAAAACTGTAATGGTGCTCAAAGTTGATCTCCAATGTCCATGCTGCTACAAGAAAATCCAGAAAATTCTCTGCAAATTTCCTCGTAAGCCTTCTTCTTTTAATACCCCTTTTTCTTTTTACTTTTGCTGTTAAGCAATAAGAAATATTTTGGATTATGGCTGAGCTTTCTATTTTTCTTTTCTTTCGTGATGTGAAAATTCTGGGACAAGAGAAATTTGCGACAGGGTGTTCGATGAAAAGGCAAATACAGTGACGATCACTGTAATATGCTGTAATCCTGAGAAAATTCGGGACAAATTGTGTTGCAAAGGTCGCAAGATTATTAAGAGCATCGAAATCAAAGAGCCTCCCAAGCCTGCACCGCCTCCAAAGCCGAAAGAGCCCGAAAAGCCAAAACAGCCCGAAAAGCCCAAGGAGCCCGAGAAGCCAAAACAGCCCGAAAAGCCAAAAGAACCCGAGAAGCCCAAGCAGCCCGAAAAGCCCAAAGAACCCGAGAAGCCTAAGCAGCCCGAAAAGCCGAAAGAGCCTGAGAAGCCCAAGGAGCCCGAGAAACCGAAGGAACCCGGGCCGCCAGCATGTGTCCCACCTGTTTATCCGGGCAGTACTTGCTGTCGGCCCTGCTGTGAAGGTTACGGCGGAGGGCCGTGCTTCCACGTTCATGGGTATCCGCCGCCTCCCCCGCCGCGGCCGTGCTACGACGGGATTTGTTCATGTGGACCTGGATACGTATATGGAAGGCCTTGCTATGTTACGAGGTGCGATTACTTCAGTGACGAAAGCTCTACAAGCTGCATAATTATGTAATTTCCTGTTTGTCAATTATTTTTGGGTACATTAAATATTGTTAAAATAATAGTTATATGATTGAGGGAAAAAAAGGAATAATTTCGTTTGTGAACAGATGATTATAATATAGGTTGTTATTAATAAAAAGTTTCATACACCTTGTTGGCTTTTGCAAATCAATTAAAGAACTTGTACAAAATAGTTTGACAAAAATGATTGACAAAGTGTGTGTTGGCAAGATCAAGGCCAATGAATTTTGTTGCTTTCAAAAACTGTTTTTGAATTAAATAATCTTGCTTTTGCCAACAATCACTTTGTCAACTTTTTTTGTAAACCTACTTTGTAAGCATAGCATCACTCTTTGCAAATTTTTGTTTTGTAATATTATAATTATTGATTAAAAAGTAGAGAAAATGGGTTGGGCTACACGAGCAGTGGTTATGATAGGGCGCCATATTCCCCTTTGTTTTGAATTTCCCAAAGAAAATTTATGTTGTATGCTTCACCATAGACTTGTTGATTTCGCCGTTTTACTATCGTCTTTGAAAATAAGCTTTGTCATAACCCGTTTGTTTTTTTTCATTGATGAATTTTCAAGAATTTAATTTGGATTAAAAAGTTCCTCTCTTTTGAATTGATGCCTTTCAAAAATGGAATTAAGCACTTGTTTGGCCCCCATTACGTGGAAAAAATTAATAAGTGAAATAGTGTTTTTTTTGGAAAAATAAGTGGTTGAAAAAGAAGGAATTTTTTTGATTTATGTGTAATATTATTTTTAGAAAGGTTGTGTGATTGAAAATAGGATAGAGAAAAATGAAATATAATGAAATAAAAATTAATGGGGGCCAAACAAGAGCTAAGAGTTCAAATTGTGACAGAGATTGAGAATATGATAAAGCTAGTTTGATCTCATAATGCATTCATCTGCAATTAGTTCTTATTGTCGAGAAGGGACCCAACACCCTGATATGTTGCTTTAATAGTACATTAAGCCAACTAAAAAGAATGGCTCTGATATCATCTAGCAATTAATCTACTTGTACAAAATAGGTTAACAAAGTTTGTTGACAAAATCAATGTTGGCAAGATCTAGGTCGTTAATCTGTTTTGAATTCAAAAACTGTTTTTGAAATGAGTGATAAAGATATCGTCAACTCATATTTTGTCAATCAACTTTGTCATCCTCCTTTGTAGGTGTAGCATTACTCATCATGTAGAGAGGTGCAATCAGGTACTAAAGGATGAATGCTCACGTAAACAAAACTATTTTACATTTTTTATATTTTTATGAAAGAATATGAAAAGTTCGGTAAAAAGTGTTTACTCGTGATAAAAAACTTTATAGAAAGAAATTGGGAAAAAAACTTTTAATTTTCTAAAGTTTAAACTATTATGGATTGCTTAAACAATGGTTTAATTTGGTCACGAAGATTACGACTTCGGGAGTGTTTGACAGTCATTTTTATGTAAAAATATATTTTAGAATAGTAAATTGACGTGAAATATGTGGTTAAAAATAAGAATTTTTTTTGATTTACGTATAATGTTATTTTAATAAAGGATGTGTGGTTGAAAAGAAGAGATAGAAAAATGTATTTTGAAAAAAATGGCTACCAAACGAGACCTTAAGGCAAAATTTACAATCGATTTTGGGGTATATGTGGCATTTTCTATATTCTTAAAATATAATGAAATGAGTGGATAAATAGTTAATCACAATCAGGAACGGATCCAGAATTGAATTCAAGATTGGGCTAAAAAATTTCAAGCCAAGTTAATACGTGAAAAATAAATAAATTTATACATTAAAAATTTGTTTTTACAAAAAAAAAAAGGGGAAATTACCCTAAAAAAAAATTAATTGGTCCCAGTAGAGGGGAGACTACAGTCCAGCTAGTCCCCACGACCCCCCTCGGCCCCGCCCCCAATCCGTCCCTGATCACAATATTGCGTTGGTGAACAGATGTTAGTTAATGTTTGATTATAATAATTGTAATGATAAAAGTCTTCTACTAATTATTGGAGTTTTGTACTTTTTTTTCCCCTAAATTAAAACCCACCAGACTCGTGGAGTATCTATTAATACTTCAACTAAAAGGCAAATTATGAATTTAGAAAAGGGACATATAGCCCATTATGCTAATTTGTCTAGAAGATTGAAGATTAGAAGCTAAAGATTGTGAGAGATTTATTATGTATTTATTGTACGATTATCTCCAGACTAACGTGTAGTATTTTCCCAAACACATTTCCTTCCATTCCCTCCATTTTCTAATTAATTATTCAACGAAATGTTACCAAATTTTAAATTCCTGTCAATGACCCTGTCCTATTAGCTTTATTGTTTATCGTATGCTCTTTTCATACTTCACTTCACGGCAAGATTTGTTTTCAGTTTTTTGGCTCTTCATAATCGTATTCGCTATCCTTGCAGAAAAATTCTTGTTATAATCGAGGATTCCCCCCCTCATTCGACTTGATGCATTTTCAAGAATTCAATTAGAGTATAAATTATGACAAAGAAAAAATATTCATAAATTGAGTATATTCACAAGATAGTAGGGTCTCTTTTGAATTAAGTTTTATTGTTGAAAAAAAATTTAGTAAAAAGGAATTCTACAATACCCACCGGAAATTGTGAGAGAAATAATAGTGATCTTTGGAAAACGTTAACAAGTTAGTATGGTCACGTCAATTTGATCATTAATGGGCGGGTTCACGTTCATCTTGGATTAGTTTTGGTTATTCATTAATTAGAAGGGCACGAGAGAGAAAATCAAGCAAATTTCATTTTTTCTTGATTTTCGCATTTGGAGTAGTATCAAAATGTAATTCCAAAGCAAATATTTTAGTAGATGGATCGGTTTAGCTAGGGGTGTAAGCGATTTGATTTTACCGATTTTTGACAGATTTTCAGATCAAACCGTTTAAACCAGTTTGAAAAAAACTCAAACCTAAACCAAACAATTTTGAACGGTTTGAAAAAAAACTTAAATCTAAACCTAACGGTTTGGTTCGATTTTAAATCGTCGATTTCGTCATATATTTCTTTTTCGTCTACTTTTATATCATTAATTCATTGAATTCAATATATATTTATATCTTAATAGCAATAAATTTAAAACAAACTAAATCCCTGTTTGAACCAAATTTTTGGAACAAAAAAATGAAAATTTGGACCATTATCCCACAAGTTCAACCGCCTTTGTTGACCTGCTGTTTCATATGTGGGACCCAGCCTCCTCTCCAACGATCAATTTTCTCGTTATGATGATATGGAAAATATGGTTCAAACAGAAGCTAAATATATATACTATAAATTTAAATACCAATTAAATCAAAGAAAAATTAGAATAAACTAAAACATAGTTTTTTTTTTTTTTTTTTTGTTCATATTTTTTATGCTAATGACAATATAATAACGTTACAATACAAGTTTATTAAATTAGATATATGGGCCAAAAACTATAATGATGTCCAATAAAACCTCATGATCATCATATCTGAAAAAAGGATACTGATTAGACAAAGAGAATAACCAACCACAATAATAAAGTAATTGTTTATAATATCTAAACATAACAATTATATATGTTTACGTTTGTATGATATTACGAAATGCATTTAATTTCAGATTCTTACCTTAATTTGTTCCAAAAAAATTATTCATCTGAAACTTTATTCGTAGCAAATATTATCATCGAATGTCTATGATCTCTTTGTCTCCGATTTGGTATAATAGACTACTATTCAACTTTGAAGAGACGTGAAAAATCTGAAAAAGAAGTGTGTGATACCGGTGGCTCAAGACTGTGTTGGATGTTAGCTGGAGTTCGTCTAAATTCTGAAGAGGAAAATAACTTTTGATAGATTATGTTAGTCTTGAGATGATTAGATATATATTAGGATTATTGGATGATGATGATGATAATAATAATAATATATCTGTATTAGAAAATTAGAAATTGACAAAAAACACCCACAAATAACAAAACTATTGAATTTTACATATTTGAATGAATTTTCAAAAAAAATCATTTCTTCATTTTTTTATTTTTATATATTTTTTGGTCGGTTTAGTTTGATTTTAAACCGCAATTAAAATTCTCAAACCTAAACCAAACCATTTTGACCGGTTTGGTTTGGGTCAAAACCATTTCGTTGATCGGGTCCACGTGGCACCAAATCGACGGTTTCTAAAATGCGATTTCGGTTTGACGATTTTTGCTTGCAGCCCTAAGTTTAGCGTTGTGAATAAGTTCTTCGGTGTTTGTTTCATTTTTCTTGTGTGAAGTGACTTGGTAGATACTAGAGAGTCATTATCAAATGAAGATACTAGTAGCGGATCAAGAATTTATGTTTAACACAAGTAAAGGTGTAAATCAAATTGTGTCGTGTGTGTTGAGAATTAAAAACCCTAATTCTAGTTCATCGAAAGCAATCAATTAACGGAACGAATTAAAGGCACATAAGATTTATAAAAATTCGCCTCAATTTAATACATCTTCTTCCGCCGTTGCTGTAATTCATTATGATGAAAAAAATTTACAAGAGAAAATAGTAAATTTATCTTCTCTAACATCTCGTTTTCTCAATTATGATGATAATCAAAAAGCCTAATCACCACTCCTTACACCAGATCTTTCATGCATGATAAGCTATTCAATATAATTAGATACATATGAAAGGATAGAGAATTAGCAATCAGATATTTCTTGCAAAGAAATAAATTCATGGGGCTTTGACATCTATTATTTACAGCAGAGAAAAAAAATCTATAAAAATTATCAATAATATTAAGAGAATATCTTTTGGGTTGATCTCCAATTCTTATGTTGTCAATGTCTTGCATTAGAGTGTACATGAAGAAATATACTGTTCATGATATCGCACGCAGTGGCAAATCCAAAATTTTAATTGAGCACGAAAGAGAATAACCAACCACAATAATAAAGTAATTGTTTATAATATCTAAACATAACAATTATATATGTTTACGTTTGTATGATATTACGAAATGCATTTAATTTCAGATTCTTACCTTAATTTGTTCCAAAAAAATTATTCATCTGAAACTTTATTCGTAGCAAATATTATCATCGAATGTCTATGATCTCTTTGTCTCCGATTTGGTATAATAGACTACTATTCAACTTT